ACACACACACACCCTGTTGGGAACCAGCTTCACTGTTATTAATTCTGGCAGCTTTCAGGAGCTGCACATCCTACAAGCCTCACTGTTTATCCCCCGACCACCCGATCTCAGCACTTCTCACTCTCCACTTCCTGTCTTCCACTGGGCTCGGAAGGACTGGGCATCATTTGCTGGAGATGCCCTGTCCTCCGTTTCTCACTCTTGCAGCATCTCTGCATACAGTGTTGCCTCTTGGTTCATTAGGGACCACATACCTCTTCACTTCATTGCAGAACAGGGGATCCTCGGAACCAAACCCAGGACTTCCCATCTCACCCCCCACCCCCATATCTCTATACACACCTCTGACTCCTTTTTCTTTTTTTTGAGATAAGATCTCAACTGTGTAGCCTTAGCTAACCTGGACACTCCCTCCCCCATGTAGACCAGGCTAGTCTCAAGCTAACAGAGATCTACCTGCCTCTGCTGGGATAAAAGGCCTGCTGCTACTATACCCTCTGGCTATCTGACTCTAACTTTAATTTAATTGCCTGAAAATTCCAAGAATGGAATGTAGCCCAGGCTAGCCTCAAGTACACTGTGTAGCTGAGGATGACTTTGAACTTTTGATCCTCTTGTCCCCCGCTTCCCAGACACTGAGACTGTAGACCTGTGCTATCTCCCTTGGTGTCAAACTGGTTCACGAGGGCTTAGGAGGCAAATGAAACCCCGTTTTCTCTCACAGCTCTCCCCAAACTCCTTTAGGCAGGTAACTGATTGCTAGCTTATTTCCTGTCCTCAACTAGCAACCCAGGAGGTACAACTTTTTTTCCTCAAAGGGCCCTTTCCATGTCCAGATAGACCCTGCTTCTCAGAACCAGTCACATATACTTTCCATCATCTCCGAGTCCCTCCCTCCTGGCCCCTGCACTTCCTGGTTCGGGTGCACAGCAGGATGTAGCCATCAGACAGAGCTGGATTTGAATTCTGGCCCCTGACCGCACAAGTTATTAGGATAACGTACAGACTGACAGTCTGCACCGTCAGATGTCAGACACTGCGCTGCTGTTCTCTAGTTTGGTTGGGACAAATGACTTGCCCTCTGTTTCTAAAAGGAGGGCAGTGGCAGTACCTCCTGATTGCTGTAGTGGAAACAGACACTGAGACAATACGACAGTTAGTGCTCGCGCTCTCCGCACTGTGAGCCTTACCTCTCCAGCCTCTGGTTCCTTACCCGGGACAAACCTCCATACTCGGGTTCCTAACTTTCAAAGCTTTGCTTTGTTTTCACTTTTCTTGGGCTGTGCCCAACAGGACCCTTACGCCTCCCAGTCAGGCTTGGCCCCAAGGCTTTGCAGTGGGGATCTACACTTCAGTCCTGCCATTTCTTTTAAAATATTTTAATTACATGATTGATTGATTGATTGATTGATTGAGCCTGTGTGCAGGTGTGTGTGTGTGGGTTCACTTGGCAGTCAGTTCTCCCCTCCACTATGTGGATCTTGGGGATTGAACTCAGGTCATCAGGCTTGGTAAGAGCGCTTGACCTATCTGGCTGGCTCCTCCTATTATTCACCCAGTATTTGTTTCTCCAATTCTCAGAGTTTGGGCAAGAGGGTTATTTCCTTGGCCAATGAATGCAATGGCCAACTTTCTTCCTTCTTCACCAAATACATTTGGAGTCCTGGAGGCCTTGGGGTTTGCTTCCATTCCAGAGCAAAGGCCACGTAGACATACCCACCTTTGGTAGAGAGAAGATTTCAAAGGAATGCACACCTGGACCTGATGGTGCACACCCACAATGTCAACAAAAGCGAGAGGGTTACTATGTCAGCTAAAGGCCGTCCAGGGCTCCGCAGCAAGACCTTAAAACATCAAAACAAGCTGCGCAGTTATGGTGCACATCCTTCCAGCATTTGGGAGGCAGAGGCAGGCGGATCTCAATGAGATCAAGGCCAGCCTGGTCTACAGAGTGAGTTTCAGGACAGCCAGGGCTATACTGAAAAAGCCTGTCTTGAAAAACAAAACAAAGGCCGGTGTGGGGGGTGGGGTGGGGGGTGGCGCACGCCTTTAATCCCAGCACTCGGGAGGCAGAGGCAGTCGGATCTCTGTGAGTTCGAGGACAGCCTGGGCTACCAAGTGAGTTCCAGGAAAGGCACAAAGCTACACAGAGAAACCCTGTCTCGAAAAAGCCAAAAAAATAAAATAAAATAAAATAAAATAAAATAAAATAATAAAATAAAATAAAATAAAAAACAAAAACAAGGAAACAACAGAAGCAGCTGGAGAGCTGGCCTGACAGTCAGTCGTTCAGGGCTCTTGCCTGAAAGCTGCTCTTTCGGCCTTTTTACTCCTGAGCGCAGTGACACCCCCAAACCAGACCACTCCAGGGTAGAAAGAAGGTTCACTGAAAATATGAAACTGCATGGCTAGCTCTTGGCGGGGGAGGGGGAGGGGATAATAGAAGGTAGGGAAAGTCTGACCAGTTTCTGTTTTTTTCAAGATTTATTTATTTATGTATTTTATGTATATGGGTGTTTTTTGGTTTTTGTTATGTATGTTTGTTTTTGTTTGTTGAAACAGCGTTTCTCTGTATAGCCCTGTCCATCCTGGAACTCATTTTGTAGACCAGGCTGGCCTTGAACTTCCTTTGCTTCCCAAGTGTTGGTATTAAAAGCGTGTGCCTCAATGCCTGGCTTGTATATGGGTGTTTTGTTTGCATGTACATCTGCACACCAGAAGAC